ACAAAAAATCCTTGCTACTTATGATCCTGCCAAAGCAGTTTTTGTAATTACTAACCCAGGAGAGACCTAGGTTATGAGTTGGGTTTCTCAGTGTGTAATTAATTAAAGTAATACAGAAGAACATCAAAGAACTTGTTTGTTTTGCCACGGTCAGTTATGACCTTACATGGGACCTGTGGCCAAACTGCCAGGACTTTCTTGTGTCTGGTTCCATGGTGCTGGGATTTGTTTTTTTATTAAGTAACTATGCACAGCCTGCACATGCTCTCCAAACAAAACCAAGGCTGTGAGCACTCAGTGCTGCTGAGCACAATCCCCTGGACGTGCCCAACAGCTCCCAAACACAGACTTGGCCCAATCCCTTCCCCAAAGACAACATAAGGACTCATCTGTTTTAGCTGGTTACATTTAAAAATAAAGAGGATATTTGCTTTTCCATAACTTTCCTTTGGAGTCTACGTAGTGTCATAAACAACAATGGTGGGCTCTGGAAGGATTTTAAGAAATCTCTTCCTGCTTTGAAAGTCAGAAGTGAGACTCTTTGGCACTATACAGGCAAATGTGGACCAAACTTCTTCTGCATTTCTGCTTAGCTGAAACTAATCAGCTAAATAATTACTGATTAATGCTGGTTAATGCTGAACCAGTCTGTGTCAACCTACAAATGATCTACAGAAGCTACACAAGACACATGACCAAAGCCTTCACCCTTGAAATAATCTGGAAGAAGGCTCATATTTCTGATTCAATATCTGGTATTGCCACAGAGGATAAATTATTTCTGCAATACAGACTTGGAGACAGCTCTGCTGATGATAACTTGTCAACAGGGTAGCAGAAAGGCAAATGCATTAGCCTTTCAGTCCCTGTGTATGGAAATGTGGATGGATTTCTGGGCTGCTGCTCAAGTCCAAATACCAGCTCTGCACTGTGTTTGGAGCACCAGATAAATAAAGCCACCTACATCACTTATGAATAACCAAAAATGGTGGACAACAGGGAGCACCTCCTCAGGCCTTCAGGAAATGGCCATAGCTGAGCCGAGAGCAGAGGCTGCTCCCTGACACGTGGCTGAGAGCACTCCCACACCACTGAGTCATTCCCCATCATCAGGAAAGCAGAATCCATCCCTGGTGACTTGTCAGGAGGAGGTGACTCCAGCATGGGAGGCAGCAGAGGGAGAGCATCCACTTCCTTGACTCATCCCTGCGTAGCACTTTGCATCACAGAGCAACATCGTGGGAGACACCAGCCCTGTTCTGAAGTGGAGCATCTTCCCCAGTGCCCAGCCATGGCCCTGCAGTGCCAGGCCTGCCCACAAGGACACCTCATGTACATTTATTTTAAATATAGAGGTGATCCACGCCCTTGCCACCATGCAACTCAGTGATGCTTAGCCAATTAGATTGATCTGAGAGTCCTAAGTGGGATATAGTCAGCATTTAAGTAGATCATGGACAAAAATAGAAAATCAGAAGGACCTAGGAGCTATTTTTGGTCTAGCCTTTGCCTGTAAATGGTGTGGCTGATAGCTGAGATGACTGGC